CCTACTCTGAGAGGCCAATTAAGTAAGAGGCAAAAAACTTTTGAAGTGATAATCAAGCTAGCCGAGTACAGACAGTTTGATAAGAAGTGTGAGAATACTTACAAGGGGAGATAGTTTCAATGTTTGTAATGGCTCAGCCATTCCCAATCCTTATTCAATCCTGAGTTGATTGTATCTAGTTTGCATATCACCTAGAGTTAGTAACCCTTCTGTCTGAGGAGCGTGGGAAGTGGAGAAAAGGATGGGAGTTGCAGGGGTTAGCTTACTGGGGGCAGTGTTAGGAGACTCAGCACCTCCTCTCCCACACCAGTGAACTACCTCATGCCCTGTTGGCTCTGCTCTTCAGTTTTCTCATCCTCTCAGCTCCCTGACCTTATTCCTTGGCTCTACCCTACTCTTCCTTTATATTCTGTTCCCTGACTAGTAAGGGGCTAGAAAAGAGACACACAAGGCAGGGAAGTCCATTTCCCTTTCAGTCCTCAACTCTGACAGGAAAGGTGGAGAGGAGTGTGATCTAAAGGGGCAGCTATAGGGGAGTTGGAAATAGGAATTCAGACAAGACTCTAAGGAAAAAAATATTAGTTGCTTGTGTTCAGCTGTCAGTCTTGCAAATGGTAAATGTAAATGGTTTAGGGTAAAGAAAAGGTTAAATTTTTTTTACCAATAAGACTATTGGCTAAGTCTCTCAAATTAGAAGAATAAAAGTTAAAACCACTTCAACCATACTGAAGACCTTTGAAAAAAGCTTAATATATGACTAATGTAGCCCTCTGAAAGCAAGTTAGTATCTTGGAGGGTACCACAAAGGCTCCTATCTTGCTGATGGACCAGGCATTAAAAGTGATCTGCTCCACCCACCACTGATTTCTCTAGGCTTTTGGGGGATGAATTTGACAGACATTTTAAAAAAAAACTGAGTGTCTTCTGCCTGGGGGTTTTGCTGACCCTTCTTTCTTATTTCAAGAAATCCTCCGTAAAGATTACTGGATTCCTTTCTTGTTACTCTTCTCCTTGTAGATCTTCTGTTAAACACAGGTCAAAAAACATTCCAAAAGAATGCTTTTCAGAAGTCTGGCCAAACCTGCAAAATCTTGCCCAGCAAAGGTCAAGAGAAATTGTGGTGCTGCTGCCCCTGCTTCACCCAAACGCCTGTTGGAGGGGTGGCTTTACAAGTTTTTTCATCCTTGGATAAGGATTGCTTAAGAAACTCTTCATTGTGGCTCAAGCCTATTCATATAATTCCAGCACTGTCCATGCCCTAGGAGTTTTTCTTCAACTATCTCTACAGCCCTTCTTCCATATTCTTTTTCGTCACATCTTCAAAATGAAGATCCTCAGGTCAGCTTGGGGGCCCTCAATCCTTAGGACTACTTAACATTTATAGAAATGCAACTGTATCTCCCCATTGCCCACAAGCACGTGAAAGTTTACTCTTTGCAGTAGGACATTCTTTTTTCAGTATGTGTCCCTGTCTGTGGGCATGGCTACTGCTAGACAGACCATTCCTGAAAGTTAGGCGCATAAAGCCCTCAGGAGATATCTTCAGAGTGCCATTCTTGACTGCTTCTTCAGCTACCCCTCGATGCGAGGATAATGTCCCCCAAGGGAGTTAATTGGTGAGTTTTTAAATGGCTGAGGAGCCCAATTCTTGCCCTTCAGATTTTCCCACAGAAGTGACAGTCTTGCAGGAGACATAGTTGTTACCTGGAGTGTTGTGCCCTTTCTTTCCTCCTTTGTCGTTTCTCCGTCTCATGAGCACATCTGTTCTCCTCAAAGTGAGCTGTGGCTTGGTGTATGGTGTGGCACCACTGTTCTGTTCTGCACCAAGTCCTCCCAGTTTGTTGGGTTGATATCTTTTTAAGATGTACTTTCAGTATGTCTTTGAAACGCTTCCTCTGTCCATCATGAGCCCTTCTTCCCTGACTTAACTGAGAGAAGAGTACTTGCTTCGGGAGGCGAGTGTCAGGCATATGTACACAGTGGCCAGTGCAGTGGAGTGGTATTTCATGACCTGTGCTTCTATACTGCTGATGTTGGCTGCAGAGAGAACACTATTAGTGTGTTGGTCTTCCCAGCAAATACTGAGAATCCTTCTGAGGCAGCACTGCTGGAACCATTCCAGCTGCTTGAGATGTCGTCTATAGGTTACCCAGGTCTCTTACAAATAGAGAAGGGTGGGGATGACAACTGTCTTGTAAACCAAGAGCTTGGTACTCGTTTGAAGTTCCCTATCATTGAAGAGTAGTCTTCCAAAAGATGTACTGGCACAGCAGCTCCTGTATTCAATTTCTATGTCCATGCTGGCTGTTTGGGAGAGGTGGCTGGCCATATGGGAAATGGATCACATTCTTGGCTAACTTGATGAAGCCAACTTCTTGCATTCTGAGAGAGAGAGAGAGAGGTGTCTGTCTGTCTCTGTCACTCTCATTGAGAACAGCTAACTCCATCTCGGACGGCAACTTGAAGCAATTATGCATTTATACTTGAGCATACATTGTCACAGAAATTATGCATACTGCTAAAGTGAAGATCAAGGAAGTTTGGTTAAATTGCAAGACACTCTTCTAACCATATTCATACTCTTCTGGGAGTGAGGGAACTCACCCAAACAAAGCCTATAAATGGCATGGAAGTTGAGAATACTAAGAATAAAAAGCTAAAGACATAAAAAGAAACTAAATGTTTCTTAAGTGTTGCAGAAATGGAAAGCTTGAAAGAAATGGTGGGGTATATGCCAGACTGTCGAGTAAAATTGAAGATGAGCTACATGGGAGGGGTTTGTTTGCTTGGTTTTTATTTATTTATTTATTTATTTGTATCTCTGGTACTCCCTCACTAGGAGTAATAAACTCAGTTCTGGACACAATCTCAAAAGAGTAAGTAGAAATAGAAGAATCCATAAGAGAAAGGGGATAAAAGAAGACATGAGAAGGTTTTCATGTGAAGGGATAGTGAAAAGACTTGGGATGCTCATTTTAGAGAGAAGGATAAAGGGATATGATAGACGCACAACTATTGGTTTAAAGAAGGTAAATCACTATCAAGTGGTTCTGCTTAATCTTCAGAATACAGACTCAAAGGGGCATTCAGTTAAATTGAAAGGCAACACTTATTGCTGCTAAAAAGGGAATACTAGTTGATAGTGTGTAATTAGTCTGTGGAACTCATTGCTCCAAAATAAAATTCTGACTAAGAGCTTAATAGGATTTTTTTTTTTAAAGGTTGAGTTTTCATCAATCTAAGGTTCACTAGGATTATATATTATGTTACTGAGAGCTGGTGGTTTCCCTTGTATTTATGTTCTTAACACTTGCCATTATAAAAGATTCTTGGAAAGTTTTTTGGCAAGCTTTAATGCTTCCAGTCTTTGCAACAGGCCTTTGAAATTCACAGGGAAGCAAACCCTCCAGTTAAACAAGCAACTCTTCTTCAGTCTGTCCAATTCTACTCACTTCAGATGAGAGGAAAGTCATTTTGATGCCAGACATGGACTTTCTAAGGTCAGGTTCATGCTACTGCCAAAGCAGCAGCATGCATTGCCCTGGGGAGGTCAGGGAGCTGCCAGAGCAGTTGTAGTGTCAGGATAAGTTGGAGAGAAGAACCCTCTCCATATTGCAGGTTCCTGTCCCTCTCGTGGGATAATAGCCTTCTATTGGTAGCTAATGTCCTGTACTTCAAGCAGTTGGAAGGCTCAGCTTCAGTGCTGAAGATTGAGGCTTCAAAACCTACCAATGATAAATGACGTGTGACGTTGTTTGTCCCTAGAAATCTAGGGAATTACATCCAAAATAAAGCTTTCATTGTAGCGGTTGCAAAATCAAGCACTCAAAAGTTAGGAAATAGTAGATTTGAGGTTGTCCATGCAATCTTAATTCTGTCACGCTGTGTGTGTGCATTATGATATAGTTTTAATGACATGATCCCATGCTGTTTTTTTTCCCCCACAGTATCTCTGCACAAAGTAGATGAATAAGGAGGCAGAACTAAGTTGCTCGGGCAACTGTAAATTTGTCAATTTCTAACCTTGAGTGCTTCAGTTTTCAGCTTGAATAACATTCTTTTAACCTGCATTACATAACACTCTTGGTATATCTTGTTGTATAACCCCTCACTCCTCAGGTCTTTGGAAGAAACTTCATCTTTAACCATTATTATTTTTTTTTTAACTGTGTAAAATGGATTTTCTTGCACCTTTCAGAGACCGGATACAGGATTAGAAGGACCACTGGTCTAGTGGTTTAATCCAGTGTGGCAATGACTGACTGCTACATTATGTATTTTTGGGATGAGGAGAGAAGCAACAACAGAATATCAGGGCCACCTGATATGAGAGACCGACGCTCTGCAGAAATAGCACTGCTTTTCTCTCTTGGATAGCTTCTTTTTGTTCTCTCTGCTCCTGGTCTCTGACTGTGTCACTAAAGAAGGTTTTCTGATTGGTTTCCATTCTGTGTCCTTAGTGACAGCTAGTGTTTATTTCCAGTTTGTCTGTCTTGTTGCATGATGCCCAAGTCGCTATTGTACAAATAACTAATGAATCTTCCACCAATCCAGCGAAGTTGACTAAGGGTACTAATGTATATGTCTCCATGTTACAGGCATTAAGTATTTTGTGCCAATCTTACTTTCTCAATAGGTACAAAGAATTTTACGTGAAAGATTTTGTCACCAGTGCCCTAATGGAAAACTGTTTGGGGTTCAACTTCAGTACAAGTGAGTAAGCAACTTCATAACTTTGTGGGCAGCTCCTTACTATTTTGACCTCAGGTTAAACATAGAAAATTCTGATTTATACAGGGCTTGTTATGCCTTTGATCTTTTTTCTGTTAAGTAGTGATTTTAAAATGCACTTAAAAGAAGCAACTTCTTAAAACTCTTTTTTAGTAGAGCTTGAAACTCATTTAAACTTAGTTTTAAAATTAGATTATTAGAAAGACTTGTTGTATACACATGAAAAATAGGAACACATTTCTAAAAGAAAATCACCTTCTGGGCTGAATTTTTCTCATGTACGTTTCAAGCCTAAAAGTTTTTGGGTTGGAAAGTTTGGTAAAATTCCATTCTTAGTAGGAAAGCTCTTAAATAGATCTCACACTCTGCTTTTATTCTGTTTCTTAATCCTCTTGGATCACTTAACTTTTGCCATTCATGAATAGTCTCTTGAGAGGTCAAAGCAACTCTAGGATCTTGGATGCCAGACTCATAAGTCCTATGGGATTGTGCAAGACAGACTCACATCTTTGGAAAGCCTAGTTGATGCTATAATGTCTAAAACAAATAATTGCCTGAAAATCTAGGGGTAAAAGTCAAATAGTGAGGAAATAAGAGAAGGTTTATTCTAAAATGTAGTTAGGTCCCTTAGCTATTAATTTCCATGTGATTCAATATAATATGGTATCCTTAGCTACACTCTAAACAGGCTGGCTGCCTCTTGTGCATCTCCTCATGGCCTAGGGTCATGTGATAGGCAGCCTGCCTCAGTTTCCCTCTTGCGCTGTTCAAGGAACTCACACATTTTGTCCATTCCCATCCCTTCTCAGGTTGTTTATTTAATTTTTTGAATGTTTAAGTCATCCAGAAGTTGAGACCTTGGTTTGTACCTTCTTCTCCCAAGCCTTCCTGCCTGGAGCCTTTCCTGCTTTGTCAGAACACTGCAAGGAGTTTCTGCTAGGAACCTGCACACTCCTAGCAGTTTAGTTCCTGAGTATTCTCCCCTTCATTGTAGCCTCCTGCTGCCCTTTATAGGACCGTCACCCTGATCTTGCCTAGCTGTGGCTTATTCTGTAATCAGGAGTGGCTAGCTCCAGCCTTAAGGGGTGAGTCACCCTGTTACAGGAACTAATAATGAAACACTTGCTAGTATAAATGAGGACTCCAAAAAATAGCATGGAGAGAGGTAAATAGTGGTGTCCCCCGGGGGTCTGTACTGGGACCAGTTCTATTCAACATGTTCATAAATGATCTGGGAAAAGGGGTAAACAGTGAGGTGGCAAAATTTGCAGATGATACAAAACTACTCAAGATAATTAAGTCCCATGCAGACTGCAAAGCGCTACAAAAGGATCTCTCAAAACTGGGTAACAAAATGGCACATGAAATTCAATGCAAAGTAAAGCACATGGGGAAAACATAATCCCAACTGTACATATAAAATCATGGGGTCTAATTAGCAGTTACCACTCAGATCTCGGAATCATTGTGGATAGCTCTCTGAAAACATACACTCCATGTACAGTAGCAGTCAGTGAACAGAATGTTGGGAATAATTAAGAAAGGGATAGATTATAAAACCGGAAATATCATATTGCCTCTATAAATCCATGGTACACCCACATCTTGAATACTGTGTGCAAATGTGGTCGCCCCATCTCACTGGGCATTGGCCACTGTCGGAAGACAGGATACTGGGCTAGATGGGCTTTCGTCTGACCCAGTATGGCCGTTCTTATGTTAACTTTTGTCTTCCTCTTTTGATAAAGAATTTATTTTGAATATTGATCACTCATTGCTGAAAGACATCCAAGATGCAGTAAGAGTTACTTGTTTCTCCTTTCTTCCAAGTGTATTCTTCCCTCTCAATGGAAGACTTTCAGTTAACATTAACTCCCTTACGTTGACAATGGGAAAGAAGAGAGAAAAGTAGGAAAATTAGTGTTCCTGCTATAAAATGCATATTGTAACAGACTTTAAAATAATGAATAAAATAAATGTTATGCACACGTTCTTCACTGAATTGTTTTTTGGGGGAAATGTAGAATATAAAGCCTGATCCTCATTGTTTCCAAAAAAAAAAAATCTCATGTGGATGGACCCCTTCTATATGCTTTTGGGGTCTTTGAAAAAATTTCCAATCACAGGGGATGACCTCCATGGCAACAAAGGTGGCATTAATGGTGTTATGCTATGGAGAGTCAACATGATTAAAAACTGAAAATCAGCAGGACAGTTTTCATTCCTCAGTTATGGCAGAGAACTGAAAAAGCCCTTGTAGTTACTAGAATCTCTTTACAACCATTTTAGTGTCTTAAAGTAATACTTCACTGAATCACTTACATTATCTTAATATACAGTAACAATATCCTAAAGGAAAATCGCTTTGGCTTAAGGAAGGGCATCTAGAACAGACACTATAGTAGTTCAGTAATTGGTTAAATTTCTAACCAAGTATTTTTGTCTGAACTCCAAATGACATTCCCATAACTGTAGATTGGTGTGAAGTTTGAGTGACACATAAAAAACCTGTGTGAAGAATCCATAGTTCAATATTCATACCAGAATAATATAGAATAAGTTTACCACTTTGTGATAAATGACTTACTATTTCCTGAGTTTCAGTGAATGCATCAGAAGCTTAGTATGGGTAATCAGTTGGTTAAAATTATTTAGTCGATGATTCCACATCTGTCCTAATGGTCTCTTAGCTGACACATTTTGAAGCATTTTTTTCTCCTTCTCCCTTTTGTTGTAACACTATTTGTCAACCTGTTAGTTGCTTTTAAAAGTCTTAATACTAATTGAGGTTAGTTCCTTTCCTATTGGAAGGAAGGAGCTAAGAACTGAATGAAATTTTTTTTTCTCTGAAATTTGCCTTCCATGTATGGCATACTGCTGCCTAACATGGTATTTAGAAAACTTGTAAAGAACTAGTGATACTTTTATAACATACACATTTTAATGTTTATGAAATCTGAGTAATCATCTTGGATTGTATTACATTTTGCACCCAGTGGATGTTACTGTGACTGCAGTTAACTGGCCATCCTGTATTAGGCTTCTTCTTTTCTTCTCTGGAATTCTCTTCTACACCTACAGCAAATACTCCTGTTCTTGAAGTTTTAACCTATTGTCACTGTCATTATAGACATCTACTGGAGCTGCTGAAACGAACTACTATCCATGGAGAAAGTAACTCTGCACTCATTATTGGACCCCGGGGATCAGGAAAGACTATGGTAAAAGCTCCTAATACAAGTTGATGTAGGGTCAAGTTGGACCCTGGTGTAAATGGGTGCAACTCCATTGGTGTCCCTGAAGTTGCACCACGGCAGAGTTTGGCTGTTGGTCACTTCCTGTCTTTGTAGGGTTTTATTTTTAAAGATATCTTGTTTTGCTAATGCCTATTTTTGAGCATTTGAGATGTATTCATGAGGCTGGTCAAAAGAAAAACCTTATTTACTTTTCCCTTTCTGTCTTTTGGAAATGATAATATACAGATGTCTGTAGTTCAAATACAGAATTTCATATTTCAGTCAGACTTTATGTGCAGTACACAATAAAACCTGTAATAGGAACGTGGCCTCCAGCCTGCCCCCTTGTGGTATAGGGTGGCTCTGCACGCACCCCGCCTCAGTTTCTCTCAGGGGTCTTGGAAATGAGCCACAAGAAAGCTTTGTGGATAATGATACTCTTGGATGGGCCTGGTTTTAATAATAAACAGTACAGAACACTCAGTGCCCCAAAGTAAAGTCATCACTGTAACACAAGCTCATACTCACTCTGGCATCTTCATTCCAATCTGCCCTTTATCCAGCAGCCATTGCCAGCCCTTTCTAGCAGGAGTCCTTCCCTATTCTTCAAACAGCCACTCCCACTCTATCATTTCCCTCTCCAGGAGGGATCCAAAACTCTCCCTGATTTGTCTTCTCTGGCTTAGAGGTCATCAGGCAAACCTTCTCTTGCTCTCCCCTGGTATCTTGGTCTCCTGCAGGAGCCTTGCTACTCTGCAACCTTCTCCATGCTCTTTGCTGAAGTGTCTGTCTCTGTCCACCTGGGCTTCGTCTTATATGGTTCGATCAGGCCTCTGGGATGACTGCTCCCCTCTGTGGGAGAGTGAACTTGTGACACAGCTGGGGCTGAGACCCATTTTCCTTTAAAGGTGCATCCACCCTGTGACACAGTAGAACAAATTCCTAGTGTGACTGACAAACTTGTTATCTTGAAATTTTCTGAATGCTATGCTACCCCACCAGCAGAATGTACCAGCCCTTAGGCATTATAGGCTTCTCTTACCTCAAACTATAGTCTCTTAATTCATTATAGGGAGGAACAGAGGTAACTTGTACTGCTGCATTAGTGGTGTTTCTCTGATCTGGCTTCGAGTGGCTGCTTTTGATGTTTGACCTACTACTCAACTAACTTTTCCCTTTATAGATTGAGGTGTTTCCTACCGAAAGGATTTTTTTTGTCATTGGAAGCAGGTCGTGCTTTATGAAGTTTCAATTTGCTTTAACTGTCTTTCATTCTTGTGCTTTCTTTACAGAAATATCTGTGAAGCTCCCTGATGCCTGTTAAATCTGTAACTCAGATTTGTTTCCATTGAAGTCATTGCAGCTCTACTTAGAGGTGTCAGTGTGGATCCCACTGTAGGCACATGTGCACCATGTGAGAGGCCAGAATCTTTTGCTTATCCGTGTCCATGGGGGCCACATATGCACCTTGTGCTCCAATGCAAGGGCATAAAGGCAGAGTGGCCTTGGCTCTCCCTCCATTCCCTCTTACTACCTGTGGTAGCAATATGGAACTTGGATTGTGTCTGACTCACTTGGATTTTTGTCTAAGCTCCAGCTTTATCTAAAACACTCATCACTTCTTAGTTTACTTTATAAAGTTTCTCATTTTAGTTGGACATTCCAAAATAGCCCAGACATGATGTGGAAAACCCTCTGCAGACCTGTCTGTGCACCCCTGTATAGCAGGGCAAAGTTGTACAATGGTTAAAATATGGCAAACTCTAAGCCTTCAAAGTTTAAATCCTGTTCTGTGTTACTGTCTAACGCCCCGTTGAACACAATCTGTCTCTCTTCTGCCTCGGGGAAGCTCTTATCCCCAGTGAATGCTTCTTTTCCTTGCGCTCTCAGAAATCAAGGGACACAAGTCTCAAATTGCATCTCTTGGAACAATCCACTGAAGGTGGCATCAGATCTAGAGGAAGAAACGTCCTCCTGTCTGGAACCTAGGAGGCTTTCCTCCAATAGTGCCCCAGAAACCTCCAGTTTCAGCAGGGAGAAGAGACCAAAGAAAGTAGTTGAATCAGCACAAGGAATCATGGCACAATCCGATATATTCTCGATACCAATGACCTCAACGCTGATGTCTTTGCTGGCTCTAGGACAGTGACCCAAAACCCTCTGCATTAAGTATGTGCACAGAGCTGCATTTGCAGTAGTGCTTGACATAACGTCCACCTCAAAAGGAGGACTCAGTCCACGGGTAGTTCATCAAGGCCATTCAGTTTCAGAGATAACAGAGTACTAGCATCCAATAAGGCCAGAGACTTTGGCTCTGGTACCAGCACTGACTGAGGAACCACTCCAGATGCAGGGGTTCGCCTTTGAGGATCCACCCTTACCTTTCTTCCTGGCATTAACATCATTACTACTGACTTTAATAGGAACTGTGCCTGATGGCATTGCTGGTCCTAGAGGTGTTCTATCCCTCATCAGGCTGTTCTAGTCTTTTTGGGAGGGGATTTGCTGGAGACAGGAGAGATGGAACACCACCCTAAGGATGCCCAGTACTAAGGTCTCTTATAAGACTGGCAGTGGATGGGCTATCCACAACCTGACCAACACTGGTACAATATGCCATCATGGTGATTGCTATCCCAGTGGTCCCAGAGTCCTCCCATCACATATCTCCATGAGGAGGAGGTGATTACCAGTTCTCCTTGGCACCAGTAGGGCCCCTTTGCCAGAACCAGAAGAGCAGTTGGGCAAGCTGCCAAAACAAGCCTGGGGGAGACACCAACTTCCCTCCCATCCCCAAGAATCTTCTTCTTCTCCCCCGATGGGGCAGTCACTGTGGCTACTCATGGATGATTTTCAGGCATTGTAGGAACTGTGGATACCTTGGATATTGAAACCATTCAATTCAAGAGAATATTTGTGAACTATTTGACACCTTGAGTTCTGCAGTCCCACAAGAACAGTCCTATCCATCAGGAAGGGCTTGATGGAGCCTACGATAGGCTATAGGACTTGATTAGCGTACATATTTAATAGATGCATCTCCTGTAACGTATATCATGTCACCATGTTCATAGGGAGCCTTTAGTCAGAATATGTGGAATAACACTTAAGTGGTTGCTATGTACATGCATTTACAGTTTTACCAAACTGAGTAACAAAGCTGAAAAGGCTATATTATATATTTGTTATAAACTGTAACTTTTTGGCTAAAAACACACCTTTTGTAATATAACTTGTCTCAAACTGGTAAGCTATAAAATAGCTGAATTTTCATAATACTAACATTTAAAAAATTGGTATGGTTAACAACTAAAGTACCTTTCTTTTTTTCTAAAGTCCTTTAACAGATGGTATTGTGATGGGGATATTTACAAACATTTCGCTATATAAAAGTGCTTATACAAACATGTCATTGGTTTTGTCTACTGCACTTTACCTTTTTGAAGTGCTAAATAGTAGTAGTCTTTCACTACCATTGGGCTCACTCTTCAGACCTGAAAGTAAGCTAAATGTGGCCAGTACAAAAACTCTGCATAGAGCAGCCTTAAAATAGCTGAGATGGAGGAAAGGGATACAACATGTAAGCAGAGTGATCATGGTTGTGACAGACAAATGTCTAAATTATGTGTCTTGGGGCTCTGTAAAGTTAAAGGCCCTAAAGTCTTCTCTTCCTTATCACAATTTCCAGCTTCAGTGTTCTTATGGTCCTTCTTCCCAGTATATAACCCATTTTTGCTACGTAAGTGAGTAGTTAATTCATAAGACAAATGAAATGTGTAAGTATATTTAGTTAGCTTCTTGAAGGTGAAAGGGAAGAAGTGCATTTTCAGGAGAGCTATACTATGTTTAAAAGGAACTAATGATGTTGGGTAGAGGAGGCAATGGGGGAGGAGATTTAATGAATGAATATTAAATTCATGCTAGAATATAAAAATTCTTATGTTTAAGGTCCGTTCTTGCCAAGGGCTGGGTAGAAAATTGAGAGCATAGATAAGTCTTTAAAATGGTGATTTTTAAAAAGTTGTTCTTTGGAATCATCACATTATATACATTGTTGGTTTATGTCCTTGCATGCTGCCATTAATTTCGTGCACCCTTTCCTATCTTAGTGTGTAATATGTCTTTTATAACATTTTCCACTCTTCACAAGTAGTTAAGGTCCTTACCTTGTCTTTTACAGCATCTAGCACAATGCGGCCCAGTCCTGATTGGGGCCTTTGGGTGCTACTGTAATTTACTAAATGACAATGGTAGAGCTACCATTTTAGAATCTTTCAAAAAGCTTTTTTCCCTTATTGGATTTTTAGATACAGCTACAAAATAGTCTGCATGTTGTAATTAGAAAATTATTGGCAATACTTTTTTATATTCTCCCACAAAGAACTCATACTACTACTAATCCACTTAACTCATGAAACATGGAAATAACAAAAGTTCTAGAATAGTTAATTTAGCCAAATACCACAGTATCAGTCATCTTTCCTGCCAACAGCATGTGCCTCAAGAAGTTTCTTTTATGCCACAAAGTTCTGGATCTTTGCATTTTGTTTTTTAAAGATAAAAGGAGTGATGAGCCCATATAGAAGGGGTCATTGATCTGATTTGAAAGACTGAGATTTTTTTCAAAACCTGAGGAAAAATTCCTTGGAAAATGTTTTTCCTCTGACGCGAATGTTAGATGTCAAGAATGTAGTTAACACAGGAAGTACTCATGTTCTTTTGAATATCCTCAACCCAAACTAATAGTTTGATTCGCTCAGTCACAAAGCATTATCTTCAATTTTAGTAGATGTGTGATCCTCTTGTTTTATTTTCTGTTTCTTCATTTTACTGTTTTTAATTTTAAAAATATACTGGAGTTATTTTAATGTGAATTATGCTATTTTTTCTAGTTATTAAATCATGTTTTAAAAGAGCTCATGGAAGTAAAGCAAGTGAGGGAGAACCTCTTGCAAGTTCATCTAAATGGCAAGTAATATTTCTTTCCTTTAAATTAAATATACTATATATTTGCTTGTTGTAATGGGTTTTCATTTACTGTAAATTTCAACCAACAGTGCCTTTAAAGATGTTTCAAAATATTTGCTCTCATAAAAATCTTTGCCTGCTATCCATTGTTCAGTTATGAAAGATTGTCTGAAGCAACATTTCAAGAGGTACAGATAGTCTTACTGCAAAAATAGTAGAAAGCTCCACTTGGGGGGGAAAAGTTGCTGGAATAAGTCTCTTCACTGGCTGCATAATGGTATGACCACTGGGGTGAAGAGAGAAGAGATAATTTAGTCTTCGATTGTATAATCACCACTTTCTTTTAGGACTCTTACAGACAAATGATAAAATAGCTCTCAAGGAGATCACAAGACAGCTACAAATGGAAAATGTGGTTGGAGACAAAGTTTTTGTGAGTATGAACTTCTTGCTGCTCTTTTAGGCACCACTTAAAAAAATGAGCATTCTAAGTCTTAAACAAAAGATCTCCCTTCAGAAAAACCACCACACCAGATAAGTAACTTTTTCCAGCCATTGACCAGACTAAAATGAATGGGTTTGGGCCTTACTGCAAAACTCTGATGGACTGACTTACTCGTCTCATAATTGTCTTTTCAAAATTTATCAATAGTATTCAAGATCATTTATGAGATTTATGGAATTAGAAGGATGTTAACCTGTTAAAGTATTTCCTAAGCCTCTGTCTGTCTTGACAGTAAAAAATACCAGACAGCATTTATGAATGTATGCTCAGTGTCCCCATACCTGTTGTTCACAGCTGAGAGTGCCAGTTTCAGCTCAGACTGACAAACTGGGTTGACACTCCCACACTGATGGTTTATTCTATAATCCAGATTTAACCAAACCAGCAACAAATGTGTGCTTCTGGATCACTGAACCAGCTTAATATAGAGCCACAGGGAGTCCCCTTAAGCCTTCCAGCCTATATTACCATCCAGACAAACTGGACTTCTGTAGTGAAAGGTTATTAAAACCAAAAATCACCACACATTAGGTTCTTCCAGACCCAGGGGGCCAGTCACATACCCAGGTGAATAGATGCTCAGGACCTTACACAAAAAATGATAGTTTACCAAGTATTGGCTACAGCAACTAAAGATCTATTAACTAAGAAAACGAGTTATTAAAAGGTTAAAACTTAGCTAGGTGGACACTTTAAGGTAAAACACATTACAGTTGGATTAGTATATAGTTCAGATTGTTTGCAGGAATGTTAAGTTTACTAGTTTTTTCTATAGGTCTCTCTGGGTTGCCCAAATAACTTTGGGGACCTCAGTCCTTTTTGTTCAAAATTTCCCTGGTCAGAACTCCCAGCCCAGAGATGGGGTAGAAAAGAGGTGGCTAACGTGGGCATTTCTCAGACCTACAACATGTTCGAGTTAGACACAGAGCAAAATTTCATAACTCTATACATCCTGTAGATATACACATTATAACAAGATAATAGTATTCAGCAGGTTATAACTTTTTCCAATGATATCTCACAAGGCATACTTTATACAAGATTTATCACAACTTCAACAGTGGTGACCATATTAGTGTAGATGGTCACCTTCCCCCTTAGACAGTATTACACTCAATATATAGTAACTTTTATGCAGTTAACTTGTTGTTCTGAAAAAAATCTTTAATCAGAAATTTTAACTATTTCCATCACAAAATAATGAAAAGACAGTCTTAAAATCTCTAACTAGATGAGGCGTGGAGTTGAGAATTGATAGTTCCAAATGTATTGCCACTAACGGACTGGAGCTCTGGATAATATCAGCTACAATATTTATTTACAAATAAAGGATTGATCAATAACTTACTAAGTATTTTAAATTTGTTGACCAACTAGCAATATTTTTAGCAGTATTAGTCTGAAGCATGTTAAACTGTAGTTTACTACTTTCTAGTAAGCTTGGCTTTAAATTCTGAATTGGATGATGACAGTGGGTTTGAGGTCTGCCGGGTGCGTTACAGAGGAGAAAAAAGCCCCTTATCTTCTGACCTTAAGGGAGACAAGATAGTGTGGTAGATTCCTGGCTTTTGACCTAGTATTTGTGGGGTCTCAATACGGTTAAAACTTAGCTAGGTGGGCACTTTAAAATGTCCAGCCGTTTGATCAATACAATCTCAGTCTTGCAGTCTCCTGCAGTCTCAACTTCTCTGCCCATGAGTCCACATTATTGTGTCCCAGAAAGGACAAGTGACAGAGTTCCAACAAATCTTTGTCCTTTGCTAGTCAAACATTCTTACAGATTGGTTTCCCCAAGGTTCATTAGCATACTTGCTTTGTGCTTAAGCCCAGTTACTATAACTTGTTCCTTTTGTCATTTTTAGAAGTTCCCCTGTTCCTTGCCCATAGCCTAGATTGTGTCTATTAGATGAGTTCCTCTGGAAGTATTGGCCCTTAAAGGTATATTTACACTGCAGTTGGTTATGTCTTCCAGCATGGGTAAAAAGGCAAACAGTAGCTCAGCCCAAGCTAGCATGCTAAAAACCACAATATAGATATAGTGGCACAGGTGGTGGCTTGGGCGGGCTTCTACTTGAGTGGCAAGCCTGAGTTTGCAATCTGTGCAGTAACAACCACACTATTTTTAGTGCAGTAGTTTGAGCAGAGCTAGCACGTGTCTGTCTAACTCTACTGGGAAGCATCCTCTCAGCTGCTGCATAGACATACTCTAAGCGCTTTCATCTTGTGTAGATATTCAGCTGAATGCATTTTGCTTACACAGGAAAGCCATTTTTCCTAATACATTAGAATATCAGAGCAGTGTAAATTGAACAATTGAAACAATGCCTCAAATTGTAGACTGCAGCTATCTTCCTTCAGTCAGTGATGCTTTTGCTTTCTGAGCTGCTCTGGTGGCCTGTTCGGTGTGTGTGCTCCAAGGTCTGTCTTCTAGTATATAATGACATAATAGAAGATCAGTCAGAGGATCATCTCACTATCCCTCCTGATGGGCCACTTGAGATTGGCAAGGCTGCATACTTAATCATGTGCCACTATAATTCCCAAGGATGGAAATCCAATTTATATGGTGGGAAGTAAGGTAAGAGGTTGGGAATCCATAAAGGGCTTCAGCCCTGGAAATGTTCTCCCCCTTAATCAGTTTTAAAACCCATAAGTTTCTTCTCTTGGGTGACTAGGGATGGGGGGGAGGGGGAGAGGCAGTAAGTAAACAAGTTAAGATTATTTGTTAGAGAACTTTTTCCAAATGTGTGAGCTTGTTGTTGGGCTATATTGCCTTTAGGAAACCCTTCTTAATTTGTCTGTTTCTTGCTCTGACACTAGTATCCTTACTAGTGAGTGAGTATCTTAACCTAAATGATCTATGAAGCTCAGAAAAAAGAATTCCCCCCACCCCAACACAAGGCAGTTTTCGTGACAGGAGTAATATATAGTGGGAAGAGCCCAAAGCAAAAGTATTTAATGTTAGCGCACACACAGCAATTGCAACATTGCCCATCTTTCTTTTTCCACTTACTTGAAATAAAACACCATTATATCAAGTTCTACAACTGCACCTACCAGGAAGCAGGAGGCAAAAAGACCTCAGTCATTAACTCAACCTAAGGACTTTTTCAACCCTCCTTCCTAATTTTTTCTTTGCCTCCTCAGCAGGGACACTACAGCTTTACCCTCTCCACTGTACTTCTAGTCCGTTTTTGTTCCCTGCATAATAAGTAAAAACAACTAGTGCAAAAGGACTGGACAAGAGAACGAGAGAAATAAAATCCCATTCTTCATCCGCATTGGAGGGAAAAGACCATTAATACACCAGCCTTGGGCTAAGAAACCATCCAATCCCTCCCCCTACACATGGCAATTTACTCCCTTCTAGGATTGCTCCCACCCTCCTTCTATACACCTTCCCCGTGACTTGCATTAACTTAACCCTGTTGATTTAACCTGTAACTAAATGGAAGAGACCTTCTTTTCTTGTTATAGTCTTGTCCTTGTGCCTAAGTTTTTTTTTTTTTTTTAGTTCTCACCCATATTCGTTTCACTGGATTACTCCTGAGTTAATTCTGTGCCAAAAAATTAAAAATTCTGCACACAATATTTTAAAATTCTGCAAAATCCTGCATGTTTATCTGTCAAAATAACACTATATCTCACTATCCCTCCTGATGGGCCACTTGAGATTGGCAAGGCTGCATACTTAATCATGTGCCACTATAATTCCCAAGGATGGAAATCCAATTTATATGGTGGGAAGTAAGGTAAGAGGTTGGGAATCCATAAAGGGCTTCAGCCCTGGAAATGTTCTCC